CCTATATAGTAATTACTGTGAGGTGTCATATTGATGTGGCTAATACTAACAATTTTTGTGACTGCCATTTTATATGGGAGGTAAACTGTTGACCTGTGGGTTAATATTGGGTCAACTCAATGAGTAAATTGCCCCAATTTTTTGTTCATTTACAAGTGTCCTGGATCCATGGTGGACCTTGTCCTTATTATAGAGTGGTTTCAGAGTCTTGGGTTTTGATACATTGACCAAGTGGCTAGTTCACTATGCAAGACTCTGACCTATTGACTCTCATATTATGCTCACATAATACGTAAAGTAGTAGTACTATGTTATATTCTGAGTAAGTGTGGCCCGGGCCATTTTAAAGTGATAATGTTATCCATTTTATTGATGTGAATGGAGGATCCTTTGACCTAATTAGGTCTCTTACCAATTTTTGTGAAGTATAATAAAGCTATTGGTTTTATTTACACCGCTGTTGGTTCTCTTTTAAACTACTGGTTTCTGAGGGTACTCTATGCCCTCTATTGTTTTCCAATGTGTGTTTGGTTTCTTGAGGACCCCACCTTAATTTGCTCAAGGTGAGTTGGTGAATACCATAGCATTGAACCTGAGGGCTCCCTAATTAGGGAGTGGTAATAAAAATAAAACCTGTAATATGTAGGTTTTATCTTTTGAGTATTCTTACAAGTTGTGGTACAGTTTTCCTGATAAGCCAATCAGCAAAGGGGTCTTCTGATTGGCATTGGCTTAATTGACAAGGCGAAGCTTACTTTGCCAAAGTCGAGTGTAATCTTACCCTGTTCTCCATGCCTTCCAATTCTGTGTCATCCATGCATGCTTTCAGCCCTTTGTGTCCTCCGTGCTCCCTGTTGTGCCTCAGCATCTCTGTGCCAAGTGCCTCCTGTGTACCCAGTGTGTCCCATGTAAGCCCCATATATCCAAGTGTACCTTGTGAGCCCCTGTGTCTCCAGTGCAACTCTGGGTCTCCAAGGTTGCCCTTTTGTCTCCAAGTGTTTCCTGTGCACTCTTATATCTCGAAGTGCACTCTTTTTTCTCCAAGTGTGCCATGCACAATTGTTCACCCCTGTGTTTCTAAGTGTGCCCCTGTGTTTCTAAGTGTGACCTATGAGCTACTTTATCTCTCTGAACCCCCATATCTCCAAGTATGCCCTGTGTCTGTAAGTGCGTCACTTTTCCTCCAGTGCACCCAAGTGCCTTCATGAAACCTATGTCTCCTCAAAATGTTTGGTGTACTCCTGCCATCACTTGAACTGTCCATCTTTCAGTGGATACTTATGAATCCACTCAATGAACCTCAGCTGCCTATTGATCCAAACTAGGAACTTTCTCAGAGTCGATTCCCAAGAAGCTGGTCAAGTCCAAGTGATCAGACATCTCTATGCCCTATCAGCTCATTTGGCTCAACTACAAGCCTCTGTCACTCCAGCCTCCAATCTTCTGGCCACATCGCAATCCCTTCTAGCTCAGCCATCTGTTATATCTGTGGCCTTCATGCTTCACCTGATGTCTCCTCCATGCTTCTCCAAGTATCCCAAAGGCTGCAGTGGGTTTGTCAATCATTGTAATATACACTTTTAGCTACAGCCACAGAACCTTTCTATTAACAGTGCTAAAGTGGCCCATGTAATCTCTCTACTCTCTGGGTAAGTTTTGGTCTGGGCATCTCCACTTTGGGAAAAAGGAAACCCTTTGTGGTACAAGTACTTTCTAATTCAGCTGTAGGAAGCACAACTGTGGAAGCACTGACTTGAAAAAAGTTGTGATTAGCAGAGATGATTAGCGTGTAAATCTCTCAAATCTATGACTGTCTTCTAATCCCCAATCTCCAAGTCCTATTTTAATTTCACAATCTCTGATTATTTCCTGTTATGTGTCTTCAGTGTTTTCAGAAAGAGGAAATATTATGGGAGCAAGAGGTGATGGGAAATTATTCACTGAAGACACATAGTATGTGCCACCGACAGTTGACCAAAATGGGAATTCCCCTTGTTTTGGGGAGATTTTCTCTCACTTCCGGTTGGGTCTCTAACCCACTTTGTGCTATGTGCTGTCTAAGACTACCTGTGAGGTCATAAAGGGCACCCCCATTCCTCCATGGCTGCCTGACAACGCAGCTAGCATAAGGATGGCTGCTTTGATGGATGGCACCCAAGACAGGCTTTTGCTAGGAAGGGAGAGAAGAGCGTGACAGGAAAGCTTTCGCTTCAATGAGCATGTCAGCTAAAATGTTTTAGGCAAGGAGTTGGTGATGGAGAAGAGTGCTATTTGTCAAAACAGACATCTCCTTGCTAGCTGCGTTGTAGGACATCTGTGGAGGGAGGATGGGTGCCCTGTCTCACCTCACAGCCAACCTTAGGCCTTGTTTACATGGATGTACTACAGGGTACAGATGTGCAAGGGCCATGTTTTCTCATACGGGGATGCACAGGTATCCTACGCATTCCCATGCAGGCAGTCCTGGTCATGTCAATTGGGGCGCTGCAGCTGCTCCCTATTTGATGACTGTGCGGGCACGAGTGCATTGTTCTAAATGCAGACAGTGTGCATTTGGGGCTGTGCACCCACATGGCTGTTGAACTGGGAGCAGCACTTGTGTCTGCGCAGCCTCTGTGTCCCAATTGACAGTAATGGGACTGCCTGCCCAGGGATGAACAGAACGCTTGTGAATCCCTGTGTGGGGAAACACGGCCCTCACACGGGTGTATACTGTAGTACATCTGTGTAAACAAAACCTTAGAAAGCTACAGGATGAGAAGACAACATACTACACTCCTGGCAAACAGCACACATTAATAAATATTGAAGGAAGACTTCTTCACTTGCAGCCCACCCACAGTACTTTTACTGTGGGTGGGTGGCAGAACCAGACCAGGCGCCCACATTTTCTGGTACATGTGCAGTAGAACGCCTCCTTGGGCGCGCATCTGCAGGATCCCATGACTGCTGTTTCCAGTGGACACAGTGGATCACTGCACTAGGTACCCAGCTGCTATGAGTGGCCGATCACAATCATAGTGATCACATGATATTTATGTAACAAACTTTCATAAATGGCTTTCCATTCATGACAACCTGATTATTGTTGTGATGGGCCAGCAGCTATCACATGGTTACTTGTACCATATGATTAGCTGTAGCAAAATGTCATGAATGGAAAGCCATTCATGAAAGCTAAACTATGGCTTATAACAATGATCATCTCTGTTATAAGCAAAAACAGTGTTAAGAAAAAATCCCTGATCATATCCCCCATACCCCTAGAGTAGTACAGTACACTATGGTGATATTGAGCTACTCTACTTTTTTTTTTTCACATACAGTACTGTAATTGGTCAGTATCCCTGGTGACAGTATATATATATAAAAAAAAAGTTTATTTAATTTCTTAATTTTCCCAAAAAAGCGTGACAGAAATTACACATGCCATGCTTCTTATACCCCAAACTGTCTACTTTCTAAAAAGGGGTAATTTGGGGGGTATTTGTACTGTTTTGGCATTTTAGGGCCTCAAGAAAATGAGATGAGCTGTCAGTACATCAGGATTAATCAGTTTTTCAAATATATATACTAGGGATGTACTGATGCCGTTTTTTTTTATCGGCAAGTACAAATACCAATACTTTCGATCATACAAAATGTATGGATGCAAATTGCACCGCAAAGAATATTATGCGATCTGAACAGGAATGTGATTCCTCTCCAAATTGCATGTGGTTTCCCCACTGCTCCTATGTTAACCCAGGCTGTCATAGCACAGCAGCGGTGCAGGCAGGTTTCCCGCAGTGGATAGTGGGAGCGTGAGAATGTATACTATGGAGGCAGATGCTCCATATTCTCAGCAGTAGGAGAGGAGAGAAAGCAGCGGGGCTTTCAGATCACCTCCACTTTCTTCCTCCTCTCCTTGCAGGGATGACAGTTTGGACTAGAGGACTTTTGATTGGTCAGCATTGCCACGTGGACAGTACTGACCAATCAGATGCCGTCTAGCCCGAACTGTCATTGCTGCAAGGAGAAGAGAGAAAGCCACTTCACATGTCTAGGGATTTGACATCCCCGCTGCTTTTTTTCCTCTCCTTGCAGGGATGACAGTTCGGTCTAAAGAACTTTTGATTGGTGAGCACCGTCCATGTGATGGTGCTGACCAATAAAAAGTCCTCTAGCCCGAACTGTCATCCCTGCAATGAGAGGAAAGAAAGAGTCAGGGATTTCAAATCCCCAACACTTTCTTGCCTCTCCTACTGCAGAGAATATGGAGCATCTGCCTCCATAGTATACATTCCCACTCTCCACTCAGCATGGGATGCCTGTAGGGAGGTTTCCTTCAGCGGTGCTGTGTGAACTCAGGCCATGACAAGCCAGGGTTTACATAGGAGCAGTGGGGAAACCACATGCCATTTGGACAGGAATTGTATTGTATGGAATTGTATGTAAAAAAGGACTTACATTTAATTTGGGTGCAGAGTTGCATGACCGCACAACTGTCAAAATAACGCAGCGCCATAACGCCAAAAATGGCCTGGTCAGGAAAGTGGGTAAATCCTCAGGAGGTTGGGTGGTTAAGTGGCACGGGGTATATAGCAAAGTCCTGCTCATGAAGGCGGTAAAACCTTCTGGAGGTCAAGTAGTTAACTAACACCTTTTTGAGATCTAAACTTCACACTTAAAAGAGGGACAACTGAGGAAGGACAGAGGGAAGAGGCACCAAACAAGGGACAGTTAGCAGCTCCGATGCTGCTTTGTATATCAGTCCAGGAACGACCAAAACCTGATAATCGTTTCTCTTTCAAGTAATGAATACGGATAATGGGTAAGACCTGGCGCCACCAACACGCCTTCTACATGTCCTCCACTGGGCTCTGCCCAACACAAACATGGCGGTAACTCACAGGTCTGCTCTGAGGTCAGAGCCGTAAAGCAAAACATCGAAGGCAGGGCTTAGGAGTGAATGGCGGTCACGTGGTCTCTGCTGTCACTCTGTCCTTCAGAATGCGAACATGGCGGCATCCGGCAGCAGCAGGAAGAAAGCTGGGGAGCTGCTGAAGACTCTGCCCCGAGTGTCTCTGGACAACCTGAGACCCAACCCCGGAGCCAGGAAAACAGTAAGAGCCGATCTGTAGACGGGGTATCGGGGGTGTCACGTGGTCATTACCAGGACTAGATCAGACCAGACACACTGTGCCTGGCTAGCTCTGGTAGAACTACAATTACCAGCATTATTGCCAGTGGGTAGCTGATCTGCTGGGCTACAGCTATGTTTTCATTCCTAGCACAAATGTACAAAGCAGCATTTTTGGCTTTACAATCACTTAAAACCCCCAAACAGTATCTATTTTCTGAAAGAAAATACGTTTTTAGAATAAAAATATATTAATTTGCATTTTTTTTTATGTCGCTCGATATTTGGGCCACTGTTTATAAAACGCAGAATGAAATATAAAAAAATGAAATTTAGTGCAAACACACAAAATAATTAGTACAATATAAAAGATGAGGTTGTGTTGAGTAAATAGATACCAAACATGCCAAATTTTAAAACTACACATGCCTGTGATATTGCAACAGAAAAAAAAATATAGTGCCCAAAAATCTCCATGGGTGACGCTTTAACCACTTCCTGTCCATAGGACGTATCCGAACATCCTTGGATGCAGCAATAGCCAAGATATATATATATATCTTTTTTTTAAGTCCCTTGCGATTGGATAGCGCCCGGCGGCAGCCTGTTCCTGAGACACTGATGTTGTTCCTTCCACTTTGTGACGTCAGAAACGATGAGGATTTCATCACTTTGGGCTCAAGTGAACAAGCCATTACCAGCTTCAACAGATATCAGATCACACTGATCTTGGAGTGATCTGATGCTTTGGAGGCCAGAGAAGAGCAATGGGTCTAATAGACCCCAGATCTCTCCAAAAAGAGGACCTGTCTTGCTTTATTATCACAAGGGATGTTTACTTTCCTTTTGATAGCAATAAAAGTCTTCCTGACCGCCCTATAGCAGAAATACTGCTACAGGGTGGCACAGGTGTGCAAAATCACGTGTGTATATATACATGATTTTGCTTTTCCGGGTAGGGGGGCATGAGCGAGCCCTACCCGTGTTGCCATTCGCCGCAGTCAATCACTGGGTCCCAGCCAGGGATAACTGAGGATCTGTGACGAAGAGGAGAACTGTTTTGATTACTAATAGTTCTCCTCCCTGTCAGCTCGGCCACACTGCTTTGGATGCTTGTGCACAGCCATCCAAAGCAGTGTGCTTACAGTGAAGCACACAGACACCACCCCCTAGTAAAACATTCCCTGCACACAGTTGACCCTTTGATTGCGCCTCATGTTAACCCCTTCCTGCCCAGTGCCATTAATACAGTGTCAGTGCTTTTTGGTGTTACTGTACTGTATTACTGTACAGTGTTGTGTTACTGGGGATGTCAGTGACACCAAGTCAGTTCCCCCCAGTGTCAGAATGTCTGCAGTAGTCCCGTTATAAGTCGCTGATCGCCGCCATTACTAGTAAGAATTTAAAAAAAAAATAAAATCCCAGTATATATACCGCCATTTGTAGGCTCTTTCATGTAAACCAATTAATTTACACATATTGGGATTTGTTTTTAGCAAAGACATGTAGCAAAATACATTTTGACCTAATTTTACAACGAAATGAGATTTTTAAAAATTGTTTTGCTGGATATGTTTTATAGCAAAAAGTAAATCTTTTTTTTTTTCAAAATTGTCGGCCTTTTTTGTTTTCATAGCGCAAAAAAAAAAAAAAAAAACCACACAGGTAATCCAATACCCACGAAAAAAAGCTCTATTTGTGGGGGAAAAAAAAGGACATAAATTTAATATATGTACAGCATTGCATGACCGTGCAATTGTCAGTTAAATTAACGGAGCACTGTATCGCAAAAAATGGCCTGGTCAGGAAGGGGGATTCTCTGGAGGTCTAGTGGTAAAAAAAAATAAGTTACTCTGTAAAAAAAAAAAAAAAAAAAAGTAATTTTTTTTAAAAAAAGTGTCCCACTGTGCTCACGTGCAAAGGTGAACGCATGCATCGGTCCCATGCACACACATGCACGTAAACTGCGATTGCACCACACGTGAGGTATTGCTGTGAGTGTTCATGTGAGAGCAGTAATTCTAGTACCAGACCTCCTGTGTAACTCTAAACTGGTAACTTGTAGAGGCTTTTAGCCCTGGTTCACACTGATGCGGTGTGGAATTTGCAGTGTTTTCTGTGCGAATTCTGCACCACATCAGAATCGCACCCCGTTCATGTGAACCACTGCGGGTATGTACGTTAAGTTAACAATACCCCGAAATTGGTCCGCAAAATGTGGTGTGATGTGCAGAATCGGATCGCAGAATACCCATGCAATCCGATTCTAGTGTGGACCCAAAAAAAGCGTCCTGCACCTTTTTGGTGCGGGTGCGTTGCAATTAGAGCCATACAAAATGTCCAATTGCAACGCACACAAATCGCATATGATTTGTACAGGAATGCAGCGCGGTTCCTGTGCGAATCACATGCGATATACCGCAATGCATATATGTGAACCCAGGCTGAAAGTATCACCTATGGAGATTTTTAGGTACTGTTCCACGGGCATACGCAATTTTAAAGTGTGACATGTTTGGTATTTATTTACTTGGCATAAGATAATCTTTTAGAGTTTACCAACAAATTGGGCACTATATTGTGTTTTTGTGCATTAACCACTTGTGAACCTGGACTCCAAGCAGTTATACCGGGGTGATAGCTGCAGGCATCACCCCAGTATTGTTATTTAGAGCCGGCAGTTGGCTCTCTTGTAAAAGCAATCGGAGTGGCTAACTAGCTGCTTGATTGCTTTTACCAGCAGCGAGAGGGTACCTTCCTTCCCGCTGCCTTCCGTGGCTCTCAGCTGTCCCATCCCACTAGGAGACCCAAGCAACCAGCCTGCGTGTCCACTGACTGGCTGGACAGCCGAACAAAGCCGGGATCAGCTTTGATCGGCTCTCCATTATAGTAACCTGGAAGCGATGACCTGACATCACTTCCAGTTTACTCAGCACTGAATGGTGCCATTTTAATACAAATTGAAAGCATTCATAAACGCCGATCTTGGTGTTTTAAATGCTGTTTAGGGCAAAGGAGGGATTTGGGATCTTATAGACCCCAGATCTCTCCATGGAGATCACCTGTCACATGCCTATTGCTGTCACAAGGATGTGTTTCGGACAATATTATCTGCTCATATTCAGCCAAATGCTTCAGAACTCATTGGACGCCGCTTCACAGTGCAGATGGACAATGACCCAAAGCATACTGCAAAAGCAACCAAAGAGTTTTTTAAGGGAAAGAAGTGGAATGTTATGCAATGGCCAAGTCAATCACCTGACCTGAATCCGATTGAGCATGCATTTCACTTGCTGAAGACAAAACTGAAGGGAAAATGCCCCAAGAACAAGCAGGAACTGAAGACAGTTGCAGTAGAGGCCTGGCAGAGCATCACCAGGGATGAAACCCAGCGCCTGGTGATGTCTATACCCTCAAATTAAAGCTGACAGTCTGCAGTTTTAAAGCACATCTTGTTTGTTTCATTTCAAATCCATTGTGGTGGTGTATAGAGCCAAAAATGTTAGAATTGTGTCGATGTCCCAATATTTATGGACCTGACTGTATATGCAGTAAAGCATGCTTGTTATACTCACTGTAGAATCTAAGAGGTTAATCCTCTGCTTTGTGTAAAAAATGCTGTTTGATCCTCCCCTTCTTCCAATGTCTCCCTCTTATCTCCTGATAAGACATGCATGGAGACACTTTGCACATGCTCAGGTTAGTGTGTATTGCTTTTTTTGTTGGGAGAGTGCATGTGATCAGCCACAGGGCCAATCAGCACTGTCCAGATAGAGGTCAGGGGTTCCAAATTCTCTTAGAGAAAACTCTTCCTACAAGCTTTAACCAGTGCTCTTCTGAACACTGATAGAAGTCACAAGACTGCCCTAACTGCTTATTAGAAAAGGTATTTAGCAGGTTATATTTACTAAAATAATTGCATTTCCATGTTGTGTGTACTGTGGGAGACCAGATCTAGTCAATGCAGGGTCCTGGGTTTAGAAACACTTTAAGAAAAATAAAAAAAGAGTTTGCATTCACTTTAAGAGAAATGAAGGCTCTGCACAGCTGGGTTCCTGCCTTGGCATGAAGGCACGGATCTCAAGTCAAGTGCAGGCATACTACATGAGCCTGGATGTTGGAGTAATGTTAGTCTGTATACTTGGGAGACTCTGGAGATTCCGTTTAATGGCTGTTTTGTATCTCCTAGACCTAGACTGACATTTTTTGTATTTTGTGTCAGGCAGGTGCTTGCCTTTACTCATGAGCATGTATTTGTAGCTGTATACACTCTATTGACTGTCTCCAGATGTGTATATAGCCTGTTTACAGCATAGATGGCAACACTCATTTGTGTTAATGCTGTAAAGAAGTGGGCCGTATGCAGATACTGCAGCTTATCTTGACATCACAGCAGTGACTTGGTATTCTGACCTTTTGAGAAGAGCTGCATGGGTACCTCTACCCTCACCATGGATGTTTCTTTTTTTATGTGTTTTTGTATTTGTTGTTCCTGATTTTAATGATTTCTTCTCATTTGTTCGAAGGAAAAACAACGAGGTCGTGGCAGACATGGTGGTGGAAAAAGTGGTAGAGGCCACAAAGGAGAGACACAGAGAGGAACTAAACCTCGTCTAGGGTTTGAAGGCGGGCAGACTCCTTTCTACTTGATTATCCCAAAGTATGGATTCAACGAGGGACACAGGCATGTATCAAATAACTTTTAAAATAAGGAGTTACTCCCTTTAAATATTTTATCAGGTAACCTTATAGCGACATTCTGGTCAAATAATGAGCGTAAACAAGCTCAGCATAATTGTTTTCAGTCATTTTCTGGTCCATGCCTATTTTACATTCCCTGTGTACAGTATATTCTGTAGCCGCCATATTTTATGAAGCTCAGACTACATTGAGAGTGCCTTCAGATTTCATGTAGATCTTGCTTTACTTCCAGCCAAGCCCCAGTTCACACTAGTGCAGTGTGGGAGACACTGAGAACCTTGTGCATTTCCTGCATCGCTCTGTGAACGGAATGTGTTTTGCGATCTGCGGGTGGCAATTCATGCTTAAAGACACCCCAAAAGCAGGTTGCAAATGCACTGTGTTTGCCTGAACTGGATCACATGGTACAAAACAAAAATGCGATCCAGTTGCAGTGCTTTACCAAAAATGCTGCAGTCACTTTTTTGATGCAGTGCGATTTGAGCCATTAAAAATGAATGGGCTCAAATTGCACTTCACAGAAACGCATGTAACTTGCACAGGAATGCGTTGCGATTTACATGCAGCTCACAGTGTAAACCTAGGCTAAAGAATATGTCACTCATTCCTGATATGTGCGTGCTGTACCATGTACTTGTATGAAGAAGTATCCTGTTCTCTCTGTATTACTACCTTTTTTTATCTGCTTTCCTATTTAAAACTGACCACAGGCAGGCGAGCACATCCATCCCAGTGTCATCAGTTTTCTGGCTGTGCTGGGGAATCAATGACACCCCCTCACAGGCATTCACTGTGAAGTTCAGTGTGCTGCCTCTTCTCCTCCCCCAGCTCTGTTAGCTACTTATGCAGCTGAGAACAGAGGGGATGTGATCACTTACGAAACATATGAAAAAGGTATTTATAATTTTTATTACACACACACACACACACACACACACACACACACACACACACACACACACACACACACACACACACACACACACACACACACACACACACACACACACACACACACACACACACACACACACACACACACACACACACACACACACACACACACACACACACACACACACACACACACACACACACACACACACACACACACACTTTGCCTTTCATTTCTATTTTAAATTGAATGGGTTGTTTTATGTGAGAGTTCACATATACATTAGGGGTGACTTGGTATACAGAGAATAGAAATGACAATAGAGGAAACAGTCCTGATATATATTCCTATACAGGGTATTTGGGAACTTTACAAAAAATGTTTAAAACCTGAAATAAAGCTGCCTACAGGATCAGATTCTTCACCTTCTTTATGTTTCCTCATGTCCTCCCAATTAAAATGTTCTCTTATATCAAAGAGACTGAAAGGTCTGTGTGTAACGCCCGACCACTCAGCCTAAAACCTAAACTTGAAAATTGCAAAGGCAGGAAGAAATAAATGTTTGACAGAAGAAGGAAAAACATTGGATAAAATGTTACCTTCATTTGATGGCTCATGGATTCTGAATTGTTTTTGTTTAGCAATCGACGACAGTATCAGCCGCTAAGCCTAAAGAAGCTCCAGTACCTCATTGACCTTGGAAGGGTCGATACCTCACTACCAATTGACTTAACTCAGCTGGTCAATGCTAGGAGGAGTGACCATCCAGCCACTGAAAAGGGATTATGGTGTACAGTTGGTGGAAGAGGTATGGCAGCAACTGAAGTCTATAATAACTTTTTTTTTTAATTTGAATGCTTGACGTGCAACTTATCTGTTCAGTGATAATACCTTCTTTATTGTTTTTAACTACTTGCGGACTAGCGACGTGCTCGTACGCCGCTGGACTTCAAGAAGTTATACTGGAATGATGTCTACAGCTGCAGGCATCATCCTGATACTGTTATTTAGAGCCGGCGGTCGGCTCCCTTTATAAAAGCAAACAGTACAGCTAACTAGCCGCTCGATTGCTTTTACAAGCAGCGGGATGGGGACTACCCCACCACCACTTGCCTTCCACAGCTCTCTTGGGCTCTCCCATCCCACCAGAAGACCCAAGGGACCACCAGCTGGCTGGACATCTGAACGAAGCCAGAATTGGCCTTGATTGGCTCTCCGTTTATAGTAAACTAGAAGCGATGATCTGACATCACTTCTGGTTTTCTTAGCACTAAACAGTGCCATTTTAAAAAATTTAAAGCATTCAAAAACTGATTTTGGTGATTTTGAATGCTTTAAAATGCAGAGGAGGGATCTGGTGTCTTATGTAACCCAGATCCCTCCATAAAGAATACCTGTCACAAGGGATGTTTACAATTTTTAAAAGTGATCAAAAAATAAATTTACAGTATAAAAATTAATAATTAAAAAAAAAAATTTAAGTGCCCTCGTCCTATATTTTCCCAAACAAATTGAAAAACCGCTGTGCAAATACTGCGCAACATAAATTATCTAGGGCCTCTGCTTTAAAAAAATATATAATTTTTAGGGGGGCTCTAACTAATTTTCTAGCAAAAAATATTGATTTTTACATGTAAACAAGTGTCAGAAAAAGGCCTGGAGGTCAAGTGGTTAAAGTGCTTTAAAACTCATACCTTAGGTTCTGCAGCTGTGTTTTCAGTAACATTAAAATTGTATTATAGCTACAATCCTGCAGTCATTGCAGTTATAGCTGTGCTTCAATCAGACTGGCTATGGAAGAGCTGCAGGATTGGCCCCTTGTCTCTGGCCTTAGTAATGCAGTGATTTTCCTTTTGCCTTCTGTTTTGTAAAGTAGAGAATGCACACACCACTGCCATTGGCCCCTACTCACCCCCATTTTTGGTGTTGGCCAGTTAACCACTTGCTGACCAGTCACGTACTTGGTACATCACCAGTCTTCAAGTGGTTGTACCAGGATGATGCCTGCAGCTGCTTCCTGCCAGCTGGTAACAGTGCCGAACAAAGACCAGAACAGCTTTGTTCGGGTCCGTTCTACAGTAAACCGAAAGCAACGACCGGACATCTCTTTCGGGTTTACTCAGACATGCAGTGTGCCATTTTTAAAACATAAAAGCATTCTATCACCCCAAACTTGGCGTGGTTGAATGCTTTTAAGGGCAGAGGAGGGAATTGGGGTCTTATTGATCCCAGATCCCTCCATAAAGCGTGTAGCAATTGTGCACACAGAGATGGACGCTGTCATCCATCTTGCTACAGATCTTCCATCTTTTATCAGTCTCTCTCCCTCCAATCCCCCCCTCCCTCAGGAATGTGGTCTGTATGTATGCTGAGATCACAGGCATCAGGCACAGCAGGGATAGCTTCATGGTTGTAAACCCAATTAGCTGATGCCAGGGTGTCTGGCAAACTTGCTCTAAAGCTAATCGTAAAGCCATAAACCAGTCCTTCACTAGACTTCAAACGCATTCCGAGATAGCCGTAAAACAGACATCACATTTAAAACCCACTTTTCTATATAATTTCGTACCTTAAGCTAGGAAATAATTACATTGAAGCAAAGCATATATTTGGATATCTTAGTTTAATGCGAGTCGCATGATATCTTACACCCCTAGTTGAAGTCTACAGGAGAGCAGAGAGCCATATAGTTCTAGCTGAAATAGTAAGGTATGGCATATTTGATGTCTGAACGTTCAGGATATCATTCTGCATATTAACCTACTAGTGGCTAGGCTGCTACATGCACCTAGTGAAGGTTATTGACTATGACTATAATATAAACTGTGAGGGATTTGGTCATAGCCTGAGTTCCCGCCTAAAACACCCCTCCCCTATGAAGCGATTGGTTCTCTGCTTTAAGGAGACACCCTGTTAGGTTCCTAGAAAAAGGCTGTTATGCTTGGAGCAGTAAGTTGAAGAGATCTCCCTTTTAACATCAGGAACCAACTTTGGGAGAAAAGGCACCCTTTTGCTCTGACACTTGAATGCTTCTTAAACCAAGGCTGACAGCAACTATTCTACCTCTCTAAACTTCTTTCTGTTATCTCTCTGTTGTGGTATTGCTCTCTGTATTTATATGTATATATTAGCTACATCTTTTTCTGTAAATACTTTTATTGCACCATTTTGACCTTTTTAGTAATCTTATTTTCTGAAAAGTGTTGAACTGTTTCTAAAGCTCTTTAATGCAAACTAAGAATCCCTGTCTCTGAAGAGTGCTACTGTGTGTTTTAAACTTCTATGTACATCTGCCTGCGGTGACAGTATGTATACAGACGATTATTCAAACATCATAGTGTTATTGCTAATATTGGCGAGTTTCCTCCTCCTCTGTACAAAAAGGTGGTGGTGGTGGCAGTGTGAAGGGTTAATTGCCTAATTAACTTGACCCAGATCGCTCTCAGGCTGCAGGTACATAGATTGTGGTCCATTAGCTGGAAAATCTTTGTGCAGGGTGCAGCTGAGCGTGGCATTGTTACGCACGTGACAGCGCGGTTTTAGATTGGCTAGTCCTTTGGTCACGAGTTGGTGAGAGGGGCTGGGGGTCTGACGCCGCGTCCGTCACAAAGAGTACCTGTGCGTCGGTCCTGTATGCACGCAAACAGCAATCATCTCACATGTGAGATATCACTGAGAACATCAGATAATGGGCAGTAATTCTAACACCAGTCCTCCTCTGTAAATCTAAAGTGGTAACCTGTAAAGGCTTTTAAAACATCGCCTATGGATTGTAAAATTTACGTCGTTTGACTGGCATGCACAATTTTAAAGCGTGACATGTTTGGTATCTATTTACTTGGTGTAACATCCTATTTTATATTTTCCAAAAAATTTGGGTTATGTATTTTTTTGTTTTTTTGCATTTTGAGTTTTTAAATTGAAAAAACTTTTTTTCCCAAAACATTGTGTTTAAAAAAAAAAAAAAAACGGCTGCTCAAATACTATGTGGCATAAAAAAATTGCAAAACCCACCAATTTTATCCTATAGGGCCTCTGCTTTAAAAAAACTATATAATGCTTGGGGGATCTGAGCAATTTTGTAGCAAAAAAAAAAACGTTTCCTGTGAAGAAAAAGTGCCAGAAAAGTCTGACCCTTAAACTGGTTCTAAAGGCTCCAGCTTTTTTACCTTCATGCATTCTATGTATGAAGGAAAAAAACTTTCAGTGTCTAGCAGCTCCCCAGCCCCCCAACACTTACCTGAGCCCCATCCTGATGCAGCGATATCCATGAGACCCTTGGTTCTCTGGGGACTCTCACTCCTGGTTGGCTGAGCCATTTGCTCCTGCTGCTGTCAGTCACACAGCTAATGAGCTAGTCAGGAGAGGGAGGGGGCAAGTGTGTGTGAATGGACATGCAAAGCTGCAGCTCAAGAGCATGCCTGCTCTGGTGCCCCCATAGCAAGCTGCTTGCTGTGGGGGCACCTGACAGGACCCCCTCCTGTCAGGTGCCCCCACAGCAAGCAGCTGTGGCCAGGAGTGCCAGCGTGGGACCCGTGAAGAGGAGGATCCGGGCTGCTCTGTGCATAACCATTGCACAGAGCAGGTAAGTATGACGTGTATCACTGCAAGTAGACAGGTAACTTTATCTGTGTAGCAGAAGAAACTTTTCATGTCTCTTCTGCAATTAAGAGCCTACCTACTTGCATTTTTTTTTTTTTAGTTTAGACTTTAGTTCCAATTTAGGATTGTCTTTACTGGCAGATTTACCTCTGTTTGCCCTCCTTCTTCAAAACTAACAGCCTTGGGCTCTTCCTCAGTGCGGCTGCTATCTTCTCTGATGCATCTTCTGCATTTGGGGATCTTCTTTCTTTGGCCATTGGGCAGCCACTTCTGGAAGTTGCATCCCTCACTCATGCACTCAATCAGTATACACTCAAAAAATTCTAGTAAATAGTGGAAGGAGTTTTTTTGGGAAAAGAGATATCAACAAAGAATGAAAAACCTCTGTCTACCTGTATTGTGTGTTTTTTTTTTTTTTTTTTAACTTGTGCTTTTAACAAAAAAACTGGAGACAATATTCGCCACTAGGTGGAGACAGCAGCCAAGTGAATTGCTTTAAAGTATTTCTGGTTACCTTTTTAATTTTTTCAATATTTTCTTTTGCTCTTTGATGCTTATTTTTTTTTTTTAAGTGACATAGCTGGTTTGGAATGTTTTTAAACACTTATCGATATGCAAAATAGACAAGATTCTGTAGGCTAATTGCAGCCTTTCTGTATTTGCTAAATGCAACAACAATGTTAGTTGGGCCTAACAGTATGGCATTATTTAAAACAGTAGTAAACCCAAAAGCAAACATTTATTATACTGCAATTACCAATTTTTGAATGTGATGGCTGCATTGGTTTTCTATTTTAGTCTGTCTTCTATTTTCAGTTGTTAATCAATTTACTACTGAGAGGGTTTCTTGTAATGATCAGCTTTTATTTATGTGAAATCTTTATAACTTTTTAAAAGAAAGGTATAAAGGTTTTACATAAATAAGTGCTTAAAAAATGTGAGCTGGAGTTTGGCCTTTGTTTGTTAGTGTAACTAAATCTGCTAGTCCATCGAACACTGCCCTCCCCCCAGATTACCAATGGTGCTGTCCTAATGTGCTGCCTGTGTTCGCTCGTCTAGTGTGGGGACACTCTAATACAAGAGGTGTGTTACTGGCGAGTTCAGGAGGGGAAAAAGCCTAAGTAAAAGAAAACTAACACAGCCACTACATATAATGATTGGTAAGGTGCAATATATTAAATGTTTGGGTTTAATACCATTTTTACA